ATTGTTCATTATAACGTAATCATTTGATTTGATTTTAAATTTGCTTTGATTTTTCTATTGAGAAATATATGATTAAAAATTTTGAATTTTAAATAGTTTCTCATTAGAAATTTAAATTCTATTCATAATTTTTAGGAAAGCTTTTAAAATTTTTAAATGCAAGTGAATCTATAATAAATTTCTCTAAAATTTTGTGGCTGTTTTATTTTCTTTCTTAAAGTTGTCGTTTGGTTCGTTGACAAATCCGATGAATTACTTGTGGCGCCAACAATCGAAAAAGCCACCCCCTCATTTGTGACGGGGTTGTTGCATGCGCAATCAAAACGGAATAGAAAATACACAAACTTCGCAAAATACATGGAAGTAAAAAAAAAAAAAGAAATCGCGTGCCAAACTTCGTTGCAAAACCAAGACGATTTACCTTTTCCGCCCGAACGGGTTACTACGACTATAAACATTAATTAAGCTTAAGCCAGGTGTACGTACGTATGTATTTTTCTACTTCCACTTTTATTACTCCCCGTAACCTACTTTCCGTTTCTCTTCGTTCGTTACCAAAAATTATGTTCATTGCTTCCCTTGATTTATTGCGGCGGTCGTCTGTGGGGATGGGTAGCAATTAATTCCACCCCTTGTTTCCATTGTCCCGTGATATGGCCCATTCGGCGATTAATCATTAACGGAGTACATTTCCTTAAAAGCTTTCCAATGCTTATTTAAATAGTCGTTTGGGACTTTCGACGGATCGATTAATCATTCTTCTTCTCTCAAAATAAAAAGTAGAGAACTACCCTCTTTTTTTTTGGTCTAATTTAATATCATTGAAAGGAAGGAAATCGCTTCGGAGCGTATGAAAATCAACTCAATCATCGGCTCACTTCATCATCGCAATAATAACATTGTTGGAGGCGGTGGCGTTTTGGAAGAGGACTGTTGCGTCGTTCTGCATTATTTTGAATAATTAACCGGTCGCAGATTAACAGACGCATTTACATTTATACAATGCGGACCTGATTTTATGTACACACCGGCTATTACGTCCACAAATCCTCCATTTAATGACTAATTTAATCCGTCCAGAGCCATTTATTTCCTCGGCACAACCACCACCGTCCTTCCTCTCCCTCACCACCACATGACCGGACGCGTAAACAGCACGGTTTTTGTCGCGTTTAATACTTGCGTAGACTACTAAATTATATTACAACGTGCACGTGGTTATTAACCGCCACCAAATGTTTAGTGTTTAATCTAGATTTCGTGTGATTATTATTTACGGGCCCATAAACGCGCAGGCCGCCTCCAATTATCCTACCTCGCATATTATTACTCTCAGCATTATAATAATAGAGACGGATTGTTGTTGCAAACAGAATTATAATCAATGCCTTTAAAACCGTACTTTCAGTATTAATACGCTTCTGTATTCATACCACCATACTCAACATGTAGTAACAGACATTCATATCAACAACGAAATTTCGTAGTAACGTACACAATATTCAAAGTAAAGTACTCAATATCCATACTTACGTATTTAACGAAAAGTAAAGGACTTAACGTTCATTGTAACATATTAAAAATACGTTCATAATAATTGAGTCAATTTTCAAAGTTACGTATTCAATATTCGCAGTAACGTACTGCAAGTTCAAAGTTTGTAGTAAATAGTTTATAGTAACATATGGTAACATATTCAATATTAATTAAATAAAACTCAACTTTCATAATAATTGAGTCAATGTTCAAAGTTACGTACTTAATATTTGCAGTAACGTACTGCAAATTCAAAGTTTATAGTACATAGTTTATAGTAACATATTCAACGTTAATTGCAAAAAAATTCAATGTTCATAATAATTGAATCAATGTTCAAAGTTACGTACTCAATATTCGCAGTAACGTACTGCAAGTTCAAAGTTTGTAGTAAATAGATTATAGTAACATATGTTAACATATTCAATGTTAATAAAAAATCAACGTTCTTAATAATTGTATCATTGTTCAAAACTGAAAATTCAATGTTTGTAGTAAATAGTTTATAGTAAAATATGGTATGGTAATAATAATTAAGTCAATGTTCAAAGTTACGTACTTAATATTAACAGTAACGTACTGAAAGTTCAAAGTTTGTAATAAATAGTTTATAGTAACATATGGTAATATATTTAATGTTAATTGAAAAAAAACTCAACGTTCATAATAATTGAGTGAATGTTCAAAGTTAGATACTCAATATTCACGTTAACGTACTGAAAGTTCAAAGTTTATAATAAATAGTTTATAGTAACATATGGTAACATATTCAATGTTAATTGAAAAAAAAAAACTCAACTTTCATAATAATTGTGTCAATGTTCAAAGTTACATACTCAATATTCACAGTAACGTACTGCAAGTTCAAAGTTTGTAGTAAATAGTTTATAGTAACAATGTTAATTGAAAAAAAAACTAAACGTTCATAATAATTGAATCAATGTTGAAAGTTACGTACTCAATATTCACAATAACGTACTGAAAGTTCAAAGTTTGCAGTACATAGTTTACAGTAACATATTCAACGTTAATTGAAAAAAAACTCAACGTTCATAATAATTGAGTCAATTTTCAATGTTACGTACTCGATATCCACAGTAACGTACTGAAAGTTCAAAGTTTGTAGTAAATAGTTTATAGTAACATATTCAATGTTAATTGAAAAAAAAAACTCAATGTTCATAATAATTGTGTCAATGTTCAAAGTTAAGTACTCAATATTCACAGTGCCAGACCGAAATTAATAGAAACGTACTCAATTTTTATAGTAAATTTGCAAATAAGATAAGTCTATATCGCAACGTTTATAGTAAAATACTCAAAATTCATAATAATATATACAACTATGTAACGTACTCAATATTCTTAGTAAAATACGTTTAGTTTAGTTCAGTTCATAAAAACGTACATATTGCTTAAAATCATTGTTTTAGTAAAACCTATAAATAATTAATAGGCTCCAATTTAAAATGTATTATGTTTAATTATAATTTTTGGAATGGCATCAATAAATCGCTTTCGTCTACATAATTTAGAGTTATAATAAATAAACCTCATGAACTGTACAATTATGTTATGCAATCAAATAAGACTACTCAACATTCTTGTTTGAAACATAAGTTGCAAATTGCATCATGAAACGTTATTAACACTTCGTGTATTTCGCAAGTCGCTACATACAAGTGATGTAGTTACGCTAATTATCATTACAAGAACACTGAACTTCCTACATCTAAAATTCCAGAAAATTACATGTTTATAATAAAGATATATTAATTACATAAATTTTAATAACACGTTTATAAATTACAAATATTAATAATTAAATGTATATTAATAAAACTTTTTTTTTCTTTCAACAATTTAAAAGAAAAAAAGTTATTTTAATGTAACAACAGTTTGATTTTTTCAACTTTCTTTAATTAATTATGTTAGTATAATATTCATGGAACTTTCTCGCTTATGTAATTTATAAATAAATAAAATATCCATTACTATAAGTTTTTTGGTTGATAATTTGCAAGAGTAACAAGTTTCTTTTAAGAAACAAGAGCTTTGTCATGAAGTTATGAAATAGTTAAAGTTGTATAATAATTTTTAAAGTAGTTCATGTCCAGTAGTTTTAATGATTTCTGTTGAACGATAGGTGCACTATAATATTTAGAGTAATTGATGTTGTAGTGAGCAGCGTCGTGTCTAATTGCAGAAGGTTGGGAATTGATTGATGGCAATAATAATCATCGGGAATTGATGTTTAATTAAAACGCGAACCCATTATTTACGAGGTTCATCGATTATCTGCTCGTGGATTTGCAAGGCGTTCGATGTAATTAATAAATGATGTTAATTAGGAAGGT